GCGGACGCGGCCGGGGCCGCCTTGCACTGCGTCTCCGCGCGGGACGCGGGGAGGTCGAACCCAGAGCGCCGCCCGGCGTCCGGACGCCGGCTCCTCGGGCCCCCGGATCCCGACTCTCGGCTTCTGGTCCCGTCCTCGCCCGGCTGCCCCCTGTGCGCGTCCGCCAGAGCTTTCTGCGGCTTAATTTCAAGGCAAGCCATCCTGAATCAAATTTGAGAAGGATTCCTTTAAAGTGACCCAGAGAGAGAGGAAAAAAGCCATCTTTTTAGGCCTGATGGAAACTTTTCTGCGCTTTTTTCTTTCAAATAGAATTGAAGCCAGGCTTGCTGGCACACCCCTGTTGTAATCCCAGCACTCGGGAGGCTGAGGCAAGAGGATTGTTGCGAGTTCGAGACCAGCCTGAACTGCTCAGTGAGACCCTGTCTCTAAAAGACCAAAAAAAAAAATAGAATTTGAAGTTACATGATGGGGTTCCTTTGTTTTGTTTTGTTTGTTAGATGTTGTAGCCAGGGTACAATTCTAGTCTCTACCAAGATGGTCAAAGTATTTTATGTCCAAAAAGGCAAAAATGAAACAATACTTTTTAAACTTAACAGATAAATGTCCTTCCTGTCCTCAGGCTGAGCACCTACTGGAAATGTCTTATTAATTGCGAGTTTATTCCTGCATTGTGATGCAAATAGACAATTGGCAAAGGGCGGCTGCATTCATTTTAAATTAACCGAGGCCCTGGTTGAAGGAACTGCATATTCAAAGTGAGCCAAATTATCATGACACGGAGGCCACAGGTCAAATCCAAGGCCAAATTACAAATCAATAGGTTTCCTGGGGGGAGCTGGGGCTGTGAATTTCAGTTGCTAATTGGTTTTCTCCAGGCTGGATTGCTTTGCTGTATCCAACTTGGAAGATCTTTTGCAAGATAAAGACTGAAATGTGAATGAGCTCTGCTTACTTGGATTCTTTACTGCACGTTTAATCCATCCATCTCTTAAACTGCTCATTGTCGTATGTTCTTAATAATACTTCTCCGGGGATGTAGCTCCGTACAGGTGCCTGCCTGGCAAGCACAAGGTCCTGCGTTTGATTCCTGGTACCAAAAAAAAAAAACAAAAAAAAAAAACTTAGGGATTTATTTCAGAACTTTGGTAAAATACTGGTTTTTGAACCTCCGTATGCTTTTTATTCCTAACCATGTTTGGGGGGGGGGGTTGTGTTTTTTTCCTTTGTTGTTTTTTTTTGTTTGTTTGTTTGTTTGTTTTGTCTTTTTGAGACAGGGTCTTGCTATGCAGTTCAGGCTGGCCTTGAGCTCATTTTGTAGCCCAGGCTGGTCTTGAACTGGCAACAGTCCTCCTGCCTCAGCCTCGCAAATGCTGAGATTACAGGCGTGCCCCACACCCAGCTCAATTATTCTTTAGAAAAGCGCTCAAAAATCAATAGCATTCCTATGTATATGCAGCAGACTCACAGAGAGAAATTAGGGAAAGCACACCTTCACAATAGCATCTAAAAAATTAAATACTTGGGCATCAATCTAACAAAGGTTGTAAAAAAAATCTGTACAGTACAGTGGAAATTACAGTTCCCCCAAAAAAGGAGATCAAAGATGGTATCAGAAAATGGAAAGAGCCGGGCGTGCTGTAATCCCAGCACTCAGGAGGCTGAGACAGCAGCATCGTTGTGAGCTTGAGGCCAGCCTGGGCCACAAAGTGAGCTCAAGGCCAGCCTGAACTGCATAGCGGGACCCTGTCTCAAAAAGACAAAAATAAAAAGAACACCTTAAATTTTATGTATTTATTTATTTTTTTGAGACAGGGTCTCCCTGTGTGACTCAGTCTGACCCACTAAGATGGCCTCAAACTTTCAGCAATCCTCCTACCTCAGCCTCCTGAGTGCTAAAATCGCAGGGGTGCGCCATCACACCCAGCAGGCAGACATTTAAGGCTGGGTGGGCTTCTGTTTAATACAACGTCCTCCACCGTGGCTTCCTGTGGCACTCTGACCTTCAGTTCTGAGTCCTACCCACCCCAAGGGCACTCCCACATGCTGAGAAGGCAGAGCGGGGCAGCGTGGGCCCCCAGCCGCCTGCTTCCGGAGCCCGGGTCAC